AACTTTCCAATCTCTCCCCTCCCCCTCAACCAGTAATAACAAGATAGGAGACCTGATTTAAAACGGTTAATTAATGAGTTAGTTACCTTATGAAAATTTTCAAGCTCTTGTTGTTCCAAAAAATTTGACGCAAAATAAACTACTACCTCAACAACTAACATTTATTCAGAGTAATTATGCTTGTGTATTAGATGTTATTTGAAAGTTGGAATCAAATAGGTTGTATTTAGTGGAATCTGTGAGTTTAATTAATAGCTTGGAAATATTTATTAATATTGTTAGTAGTAGTAGCACTGTCGCGGGAAAAAAAACAGAAATAAAATAAAATAAGACAGAAAAATGAAGGATATTTATTTTTAGCAAATGTGGCTAAAATTCTTTCTGGTGTTTTTGTAGAAAATGTTAATATTGCGACTCAATCATTAAATAGTTTAAAATATGCTCCAATCACATCTGTTTTCATTTAAATCGCAGCGTTTCTGTTTACTGTTAACAAAGTATATGTACTCAGTTCAAGTTTTTGAATTCATTGGAATTACCTGGACTCTGTTACAGGTCCAAATAATTCAGAATAAATTATTGAAATAAAGTTTTATTATTTTATTTTTGGCTAAATAATTGTTAACAACTCCACAAGATTTCATAAAAAATGAATGGATTCCCAAGTCTTATTTAGTCTCTGAGATGATCTATTCGTTCTTTCCTTGATTTTGTACAGCCTAAAACAAAAATAAGTATAAATTTAAATGAATAATAAACTTTGAATTAAAAATAAACAAACCATAAAACCTATTTCTTATTTTGAAGGTTAATGTCAAAAATAGCTTGATAGAATTCTTCTTCTTGTAATTTTAAACAGATCTCAATCCTATTAGTAGTACAACAACTTATTTTAAATAAATTCTTACTGGACAATGGCCGGCGCCAGATTAAAAAAAACTTATCTTTAATTTTTTTCTTTTCCTTTCTTTGGTGGTCTTTTGTATGAAAAAGTATTGGTTCGTGTAGAACTTACAACGCAATTTTGCGGCTTTTCTAGAGTTTTCTTGATAGTTTTCCGAAAATTTAATAGTTGTAGCAGTGAGAAGCTGAGCAATTATCACCTATCGTGTGGATTTGTTTTCTAAAACTAAAAGAAACTCGATTTTATAAACTGATTTCGTATTAGAAACACTTTAAGGCCACATTTGAACAAAGGTAGGTTTTCTTTTGGAAAAAATAAATAACTACTTACGTTTTAAACATAATAACATTTTTTTAGGCCTTTTTATTTTACTCTGTGATTTAGTCCCAAACAATTTTGATCATCTTTTCAACTTATATTTATAATCTCGTGACTCCTTAAGGGATTGGCTATCAGTTTTCCATATTAGTTAGGGTCGGATGATATCCAATTGTCCGTAAGAGAGAAAGAACCTAAAACATCGGATTATTAAAGGAAATATTAATAATAAATATTAAGTACTCACCTGGGATCGAGTCTCCAGAACTCAAGAATATAGACTTTCTAACAGCTAAGTGTAAATTTATTCTTAATTTTGGTAGAATCGAACATTACACTAAATTTCTCAATTTTCTTAGTACAACTCTGTGATTAGAACCCCACTGCAGTGGTTATAAGAACTTGTTAATTAACCTTTTCACTTTATTGTTCTACTATTGATTTTAAATTGATTTTGAAAAGAAAATCTTTAATAAAAGACAAAAGTAACACTCGAAGAATTTATTGATTTATTGATAATGATTCTTTTACCCACTTCCCTGAGGGCTCTCGGCAACGAACGTACTATTTGATTTTCAACGTTTACAATATCCCCTGCCTTTGGCTTTTGGAATTACAATAAAAAAATGACAAAAAAAGCTATTGGAAGTTTGTGGAAATAACATAGAGTTTCCATGTTTGACGCATGAACAATTATTCGCCCGTCTGAAACCGTCATCGTCACCGTTGTATATTTATGCAATGGAAAAAATAAACGTAAAAGTATATATATATACAGTAGTTTCTCTCTATAACGATTCCCTATATAACGATAATTCCTCTATAACGATGAAAATAGTAAACGTTGGTTGGTTCGTCATAAGAACAATGTATTAATTCTTTCTCTATACCGATATCGTTCTCTCTTTATAGCGATAACTTTTTTAGCGTTCAATAGTTGATGACAAATGTGTTATTGTATTTAAAGTTCAGACTACCTGAGTCACGAATGAAAAGGTCATTGTTCAGCGGTTGTTTTGTTTTGCGTTTAAGGAATGCGGCATACACTCTTTCTTATCAGAGGGTTAAGTGACGTTTATTGTTCGGGCGGCGTAATTAACTGTTATCACACAGATGTTGTCATCTATTGACGACTTTTAATTTCCAGTTTGAGTTGGGTCTTAGTGTGCCAATAGTCAACATGTTTTCAAAAAAGTGTAAAGTGCTCTCGGTGGAGGAAAAACTATCGATAACTCGAGCAATAGAGAAAGGTGAAAAGCAATCGGATGTCGTTCGCCGGACGGGGCTGTCTCAGTCAACTGTGGCTACGATATGGAAGGACAGAAAAAAGTGGCTTAAAGCGGAGATGGAGGGCGGTAGCAGGAAGAAGTTGCGGAAACCTCAGCACGAAGATTTAGATCGCGCTATGCTTCAGTGGTTCCAGCAGCAGCGTATGAACCATATTCCACTTTCTGGGCCTGTGGTCAGGACAAAAGCTGAATTTTTTGCAACTGAACTTGGAATTGAGAATTTTAAGGCATCTGAGGGTTGGCTGAGCAAGTGGAAGATGCGGCACAAGATCACCTACGGCCAAATCAGCGGAGAGGCTCGCGATGTTAACAAAAACGTAACGGATCATTGGCTAGAAAACGTGTGGCCTGGACTGAAGGCACGATATGCGTCAGACGACATTTTCAATGCGGATGAGACTGGATTATTTTTTAAAATGACACCAAACAGAACTTTAAAATTTAAATTGAAAAAGTGCGTTGGTGGAAAGCTCTCTAAGGAACGCATTGCAGTTTTAGTAGCCGCTAACATGACAGGTTCGGTGAAGCGAAAATTGTTAGTGATAGGGAAGTCGAAAAACCCGCGTTGCTTTAAAAACATAAAAAATCTACCGGTGACATATAAAGCAAACAAGAGTGCGTGGATGACCTCGGAAATTTTTGAAGAAGCGATAAGAAAGTGGGATTTCGAGCTTAAAGGGAAAAAATTCTTTTGCTTGTAGACAATTGTCCTGCTCATCCTGTATTGCACGACCTTCAAAACATTGAACTCTGTTTTCTGCCAGCAAACACAACGAGTGTCCTTCAGCCCATGGACCAAAGTGTCATCAAGAGTTTAAAAAACCACTACAGGAGAAGACTTTTGATGGAATTGTTTGAGAATAATGGCGATCTTAAACTAAACATTCTTAACGCCATCCTAATGATTAGTAAATCCTGGGACCAGGTGACGAGTAATACAATACAACATTCCTTTAAACACGCAGGATAACTGGAAGATCAAGGATTGGCTTATGATGAAGATGACCTGCCATTAGATGTTTGGGCCAGACAGTTTGAATTTACTATCACCTACAGACCGGAAGAGCTAACAGATTTTGAAGAAGTTGATGAAAATGTAGCTACAACATCTGGACTTTCTGACGAGGACATCCTGCAAGCAGTTCGTGTAGAAGAAGAAGAAAACAGTGATTCTGAAGTGGAAGCATAGTCAGAACCAGCTCCGACCCCTCAGCAAGCATTGGATGCGGCAAAAGTACTGCATCGATTTTTCATCCACCAGGAAGACGATATGAGTGCTGTAGAAGATTCGATGCGTCTTCAGGACAAGGTCAGGTTAGTTCTGTGGAAAGGGAAAAGAAGACAGACGAAGGTGACAGATTTTTTTGATAATGTAGGCTAAATATATTTTACAGTGGCATTTTATTTTTTTATTGTACAGTACACATGTTTTAATTGCACAGTCATTTTTTATACTGTATTGCTTATATTATTCGTTAATAAATCTATGTGGAATACAATGTTAAGTCATTTATATTTGTTTTGATAATTTTTTTAAATTAAAATAGGTTATTTAGTACAGTATTATTAATATTACAGTACCGAATTTTGTCTCTCTCTGTATAACGATCTCTCCTTATAACGATGAAAATTCCCGGTCCCTTGCATATCGTTATAGAGAGAGAGGACTGTATATATATATATATATATATATATATATATATATATATATATATATATTTAATAAGAAACTTTATTTTTCAAACAATATTTTTCTGCTTATTTATACACAGTGTGAGTCTCAACTATTCTTTGAACTGAAAAATTGAATAAATAAATTTTTGGGTAATTGATAGAAACACCTGTTCATTGGTCATTGATGTCATGTGAGTAATCTAATGATTAAAAATAACGAAAGGGCTCTATCTTGAAAGATAATTTTAAATGAGATCATATAGCAAGTAATACATACTTTGCCTGCACGTAAGCGATAATAACAACAATATCTAAAATGTCGCTGACGTTCCATGGATGCTGGAAAAAAGGCTATAACTCAGACTTATGCTTTGTAGTGTGCAACACTTAGTCAAACTGCCTTTCAATTGTTCAAACTGATTATAAGCCATTTAGGAAAATTTTATATCAGAAAGTCCAGATTTTCATAATCTTATGAGTTACTAGATAGCAAAGTTAAAACAATCGACGCAACCCTGGAGAACGATTGAAAACTCGTATAGCCATAATTAATAAGATACCTAGGACGTATATAAACATAAAATACAAACAATATATTTGGTGTTACACAGGAAACACGAACATTTATGAAATAATACAAAAACTTCTTCGAAAAGGATCCTTGTAGCGGAAGCACTAAGCAAAGAAGAAAGAAATAATGAGAACAGACTTTAGGGACAATGAACATGACTTACAGCTGCAGAAACCTGGAATATGAATCTCCTTATAAATTATTAAAATCATAACAAACGTTATAATTTTTTTTTTTATTTTAGGTTTGTTTGTCCACATTGTTCTGATTGTACGAATATATTCAGTAAAGGTGGAGGAGAATCCCTAGCGGAACTTACGGAAATTCCTTTATTGGGTACTCTGCCGATCGACCCACAAGTTGGAGAATTGCTGGGAAAATGTTGCATTAAAGAGTTTCCTGACTCACCATTATCTAAAGAATTTAATAATATTGTAAACAAGATTATAAATAAATAAATCCGTACCTCAGAACAAAAGTGTATTAAGTCACAAAATATAAATTTTACAGGGAGCGAAAATAAAAATTATTTTTACTGTTTTGTAACATTTTCCATTTAATACATTAAATTTTATTTAGCAAATTCTTTTAAATATGAATAATAATCATTGTTCTTTTTACCACTAAAAAAAATTTTTTTTGTATACTACTGTTTTTGGAAAAAATGAACTTTACATATTTTTGCTCTGAAAAATAAATATTTGACTGTGACTTAACATTAATTTTTCCACCTATCTTATGGCAAAATCTCCATTATGGAAAACATCATACCTATTTTACAAAATTAAGGAAATATTTGGATATACAGAATTAAAAATACTATACGGAAGTGTTTGTAACAAAACCATTAATACGAGCAAGTAAAGAAAACTAGAAAAAAGTTTAATTAAAAAACAGAAATGGTCGTAAAGTAACTGTATTTTTATTAAGTAAAAAATTTAACAATAACTTTTGAAGTACGTAACAAAATAATAATTAAAAACTAAACAAATGCAGGGCTACTTCCGCTAATTATCAGTAATCTGAATTGTGTCTTTATGTACTAGAGTCTGAAAAAAAATAGTGAAACCTCGCTGGAACCCACTTTAGCAGCTTTTGAAGATCATTGAATTTTTTAGTACTTATCGGATTTAAGGTATCTCTCAAGGAAACCAGAGAATCTTCTAAAGATTGATGATTTCTTCTACCAACTCTTCGGTTAAAGTCTACAGTCTGAAATTCCAAATCGAAGTCTGTTTTAACGTACAGAATCCCAGGATTTTCTTGTCTGAATTGCATACATACTGCTTGTTAAATTAAAAATTTTTCGTTGTTCTCAGTTTTCTTTTTATTTTGAAATGGTGAATCGCAAGAATTGTACAGTTTATTAAAGTCTTTAAAATTAGACGTTGTCATTTCATACACTTTGAAATCTTTGTTTTTTCCGGAAATTCTAGCCAACTGTAACCGATCCCATGGAGTAATAATTTGAAAATTAGGACATTCTTTAGCTTCTCGTTCTATACCTGAATGTATACTGTCCACCTCCATGTGCGTATGCCCTCGCAAAAGAAATTTGTGAGTTATTTCTTTTATATGTGGATATCTCGAAAGTAGATAAAAGTAGCACATAATCATTTGTATGTTCCGGTTTTGGGATGGGCAGTTATCGGTCCAAATAACAACTGAAGTTGTGCTTTGAGGTAATGAATGAATGTATTGGACCAAGCATGAGGCCATTTCGTTTCCACCTCGACCAGCAATTGATTCATCCCACATTAGACAGTTCGCCTGTTTTTCCGTTGAATCATAAATTGTATAATTAAAACCCCAGAGTTTTAGACTGTAAAAACTTTGAGAGTTAGTTAGCTTTGGGCAAGGAAGACATTTTTGTAAATCTATCATTAAAACTTTTTGTCCAGGGTTATTGATGGACATCTCCTTGTCTATCTATTTCAATTTGTACCGTTTATCGGCCTCTAACAAATGAGCGTTATACTGCACTTGTAATGTTTCTCTCTCAGCTTTAGAGTTTGACTGTCTTAGATTGATTAGAAATTCATCACATTTATCACAAGTATCTTTTGAAGGAACAGCGAACGATATATTAAATTCTGTATTAAAAATGCGATTGTAAAGCCATTCTTTGCCTACTTCGTCCGAAGGAATGTTTTTCAAATCACACTCTTCCTTAAACATTGTAGAAATATTTAAGTGACCTCCTAAATATTTTTTCGCCGTCCTTCTTCGACTATAATGTGATTCTTCACATGGGTAGGCCATTATATGCTCACGAATCCTGTTTTACCTCATTCTTTACTTTATTTATAGATGGCTGCTTTCCTTTTTTGTCACATTCTACAACTCCACTTGTTTGCATTTTTTCAAGTGCACATCTAACAAAAGATTGAGAAATATCTAGAGTACGCAAAAAGAACTTACTGCAAACTTGAAACCTCTTTCCTTCAATGGTAAAAAAATATTTCCAGTTACAATGGCGTTTTCCAGCTCGAGCACCTGTTCGTTCTTTTGATACACATTTTTTCAAGACAAGAACATAAAAACTGTCTTTTTTGATCTATGGTTGTCTCATGATTCCAAAATTGTCGGTGAATTTGTGCTCTCTGAGGACCTAAGATGTTTTCATTGCATTTTAAACGGCAGTTTCTACAAGGCTTTCGAACCTTCCTTTCCTTTATAGTCTTTTTAGTTTTGGAAGATTTATATTGTTGGCCTGCCATCCTCTTCTTTTTTCGTTCGTTTCGTTACCACGTACTTTCGTTCCTTAAACGTTTCTTACCTTTGCTTTGATGATCGGCTACCATGACCTTTTTTTCATTTTCATCTTCACCCTCATTTGTGATTTCAAAATCATTGTCAGTACTCGAATTAATGCTAGGAACAAATGAACTTCCCGAATATTCAAATGGATCTTCCTCGTCTTGGTGTATGGTACTTGTAGACGAGTTGAGCTCCAGTGGTGGTTGCTTAATTTCGTTAATAAGCAAGCTGCTACTTGAAGAAGGTATGTCTTTAGGTACATCTGAAACAACAGCAGCTGCATTTAGTTGCATTTCAGTTGTATCCTCCTGCAGGTTAACAAAGTTGTAAGATATATCTAACAAAGACGGTGATGTGATCCGTACAGCCATAGCTTCATCCGAATTCTGACTCTCAAGGTAGTCTAAAACAATAAAAAAAAAGATGTACAGGCAAAAAAGAGAAATACATTGACAAGAGCTATGAGATTTATTTCTTTTACTTTTCTAAAACAATAATATCAGCTATTATAAGTGACTCCGTATCTTATATAACAAGAACAAAATAATTCATCCTTTTTTTATTTTAAATTCATTAGGTATAACTTTTCTATTAAATGGCGTACGAGTGTTAAAGATCGTCACCGTAAATTCAAAACATTTGTCTTTATAATGCAGTTAAACGTCTTTATAATGCAGGTAAACAAAACGCACGTTTTGTTTACCGCTCAGCGCAAGCTGAAGAATTCTGTGGGCTCTATCTTCCATTTTTGGCTATCTCGTTTAATTTAACATGCACGACTTAAACAAAAAATATAACACCGGGTTTAAAAGCGAAGAGAACATGCGCTTCAATACACTGCAAATAGCGAACTGAACAAACGCACGTATTGTACTATGTAATTCACACCTCAACAAGCACAGACTTGTCAAATTTTAAAAGATTGTGGACTTAATGCTTTGCCTGAATTACATTATGTGGGACATAATACTTTTTGTTGGACATAATATGGTTTTGCCCTGGGAAATGTACACACCACTTTGGATCTAATACATTTGAAATGCAGAAGATACTGTTTTGCTCTAAGCGCAATGTGGGCTTAATACTGTTCATAAAAGGTTATTTTGGCCAATTTCAGTCGAAACAGCGAGTAAGAAGCACCATTGAATAGAGCGGAAAATTTTAATCCCAGTGAGCCAAAAAAGTAGAAAACTGAAATTTTGGACTTAATACAGTTTTGCTCTGAGGTACGGAAATGTTATTGGATTTATTCTTCCATTTATTATTGATATACCAAATAGATACACAGTAGAGTCGCGATTATCCGAGTCCCGATTAACCGAGCCTCTGGATTAACCGAGGTAGTAATTGAAAAGAACAAATTATGTAATAAATTAGCTTAAAAGTGATATAAAGTAAAAGCTTTGCACTGGTTGTTGGTATGCTGAAGAGATGAGTCACTAGCAAGAGTTATTGTTCTAGCCACTGTGCTTCTACTAGCCGTCTCACCAACCACTCCTTTATCTGTCAGTTTGAGTCATAACAGCTAGCTGTTCGGTTCGTCCCACTGTAAGCTCTTACAAGTTAATTCATGTCTTCTCTTTGTGTCGTCTACTCCTCAGTCCTAATCCCTTTTGGGATGTGGTGACACCATCAGGCCTTCACAGTTTTTTCAAGATTTCCCTCCATCCTTCTCTGTCCTGGGCTAGTTGTTCGGTTTCATGTAACCCTTGGTTAATCAATATTTTTGTTTAATCTACCCAACGGCTTGGAGATCTTCCCCTAGGTCTCTTTCCTTCAACTCTACCCTCGACTATCAGTTTTTCCATCGGGCCTGTTCTTCTAGCATCATCATCTTTGGCTCGACAATCCTCTGTGGATCTTTGCCTGCTCTAAGATTCGTCGCCATTCTGTTCGGTTTTTGGCAACATGTTGCCATGTTCTGATTTTTAATATTCGTAAGTCGGTTTCTACTCCATCTAACCACCTAATTCGCGGTCGGCCTTTGCTTCTTTTTCCTACAGGTGTTCCTGTGGTTAGCTTTTTAGCAATGGTATTTTCTGGCATTTGTATTATGTGTCCAGCCCATCTAAGTCGATGTGTTTTAATGAACGTTATGACATCTGGCTCATTAAAGAGCTGATACAATTCAAAATTATATCTTCTGCGCCACTGCCCTTGGTCGTTTACAGCTCCAAATATTTTGCGGAGTATTTTACGCTCAAATATTCCCAAAAGTCTTTCTGCGTTAGATTCCATGTTTCTGCTCCATATGTGAGGACCGGCCTCAGCAATGTTTTGTATATAATAATTTTAGTTTTTCTTTGAGTATTTCTTGAGTGGAAATGCTTTTGGAGTCCATAGTATGCCCTATTTGTAAGATTTATTCGTCTTTTGATTTCTTCGCTTGTTTTATTGGTAGCAGTCAATAGCGACCCAAGGTATGTGAAGTTGTCAACACGTCCAAAGGTATGGCTTCCAACGACTGTTTCTCGTTCCTCATTTGCTATCGGATCCTTTGTAACCAACATGTACTTGGTTTTGTCTTCGTTGATGACTAGACCGACCTGTTTCGCCGCTGTTTCCAATTCTAGGAGATATTGCTCAACATCTCGCTTGCTACGCCCTACTATGTCAATGTCATCAGCATATGTTAAGACTTGTATCGATCTATTGTAAATAGTATCGCCATCCCTAATTCGTGTATCTCGGACTGCCTTTTCTAAGGCAATATTAAATAGGAGGCAAGCCAGAGCATCTTCTTGTCTGAGTCCATCCTTTATCTCAAAGGATCTAGAACTCTCTCCCTGTATTCTAACAGTAGCTTCTAAGTTAGACATTGTCATTCTCGTTAGTCGGATAAGTTTCTCTGGTATACCAAACTCATGCATTGATTGGTATAGCACTGTTCTCTTGACACTGTCGTATGCGGCCTTGAAGTCGACGAATAGGTGATGGGTTTCAATATTGAATTCTAATGTTTTCTCGAGAATCTGTCTTATTGAATAAATCTGGTCAATTGTTGATTTTTCTGGAGTGAATCCAACTTGATATTTACCAATTATGCCCACTGTGTAAACTTGCAACCTTTCGTAGAGAATATTTGCTAGTATTTTGTAAGCAGTTGTTAACAGGGTAATACCTCTATAGTTGTCACACTGGAGCTGGTCACCTTTTTTAATTAAACGGGCATATCACGCCTTGAGACCATTCACAAGGCATGGTCTCATTATGCCAAACAAGAAGTAAAAGCTTATGCAGTGTCTGTAGTAGAGCATCGCCACCATTCTTGTAGAGCTCACTGCAAATTTGATCAACTCCTGGTGATTTATTATTTTTAAGCTTTTTAATGGCTTTGGCAAAGTTTTCGATGGTAGGTGGTCTTTCGTTTGGGTTGAAAGGATTCCAATCATTTTGATTTGCTAGGGTGTTATCTGCTTCTTCGATATGATGGCCATTAAATTTTGCATCGAAAAATTCAACCCATCTGTTTAGGATTGAGGCTGTATCATTTAGGATGTTTCCTTCTACATCCTTACAGCTCCTTATTCTTGGCTTAAACTCTTTGCGCATTTTGTTTAGATTTCTGTAGAACTTTCGAGTTTCATTTTGATTTCTTAGCCATTCTGTGCTTTCCAACTGCTTTTGCTCAAATTGTCTTTTTTTCTTCTATGTAATCGTTTTTCTTCTCTTCTTAGTGTCCGGTATTCTTCCTTTGCTCTTCTTGTGCATCCAGCTTGATTTGTCTTTAGGTATGCCCTGTTTTTGTTATCTGTTGCTTCTTGGCACTCCTTGTCAAACCATTCGTTTTCTTTAACTGGTTTGGTTTTCCCAAGTAAACTGGCACAACTATTTAACAAAATATTAAACAAAACAGAAACACCAGAGGAATGGCATAATAGTATCACAATCCCCATATTTAAAAAAGGACAAAAAACCTGCCCACAAAACTATAGAGGAATAACCCTCTTAAATACAATAATGAAACTTTTCACGGGTATTCTCAAGGACAAATTGGAAAAGCAAATCACTAATGCTGAAGAACAACAAGGTTTTACAAAAGGGCGGTCTATAACAGACGCAGTATTTATAATAAAACAAATAAAAGAAAAAGCTATAGAGTTCGGCATGCCAGCGTATATTTGCTTCATTGATTTGACGAAGGCATTTGACAGAGTTCGCCTGGGAGACATTCTAAATATATTAATAGAAAATGAAACACCGACCAGTATAACAAAGATACTCCATAACCTAAATAACAACAACGTAACCAAAGTTAGAGCAGGAGACGAATTTACTGAAAATATTCCAACACCTGGAGGAATTAGACAAGGCGACAGTTTAAGCCCCTTCTTGTTTAATCTTCTCATGAGCAAAATTATCAACAAAGTAACATCTCTTAATCTCGGATATAGAATGGGCAACAAAAGAATTGGTATGGTGTGTTACGCAGACGATGCAGCAATTATTGCCAAATCAGAAGATGATGTCCAAAGGCAGCTCTTTCAGTTCTTTCAAACAAGCCGACTACTAAATATGAACATCTCTACCAACAAAACTAACTGTATGACAATAGCAAAAGATCCGCTCAGATGTAAGTTAGTGGTTGAGGACAAACCCCTAGAACAGGTGATGCAATTCAGATATCTGGGCATAGATATATCAAGCACCCATGACCCAGTAAAGGACCTGAGGAGTCAGATCAACAAAGCATCTGCACTGTCAGGATGTCTGCGGGAGATAGTCTGGTCAAATCCGTATATGCGCACAGATAGTAAAATTAGAATCTATAAGACTTGCATACGACCGATCGTGACATATGGCATAGAAGTGCGCGAAGATACCAACAAAACGAAACAGATGCTAAGGGTTGCCGTAATGAAAACCCTAAGAACAATAATGAGGAAAACAAGAAGAGACAGAGTGAGAAATACAAACATTAGAGAGCAGTGCAAAATTCAAGATATTGGAAGATGGGGAAGGCAGCGCAAGAGGATGTGGTACAACCATGTAAGACGAATGGATGAGAATAGACTCCCAAAAATTGCCCTAGAAAACAATCCGCCCGGTTCAAGACCTCCGGAAGACCACCTAAAAGATGGAGGGATAGTTGGCAATCTACCTCCCAAGAAATTAACCAGAGGTAGCTTCAGAATTAAACAGATCGAAAGATCTACAAAAAGTAGAAGAAGAAGAAGAGGTTTTCCCCAATATTTTTGTTGCTTTCTCAGTTATGTTTTTACATTTTGTCCACAGTTCCTCTACATTTACCCCCCACCTCCAAGCTCTCCATTTCCTCGTCCATTTGTCTCCTATACTCTCTCGCAACGGTTTCAATGCGCAGATTATCAACATTAATTCTGTCTTGTTTCGTGTGTTTATCTTTCTTTAGGTTTGATATTCTTCCTCTGATTTTTGCCATTACAAGAAAGTGGTCACTGTCAATGTTTGGGCCTCGGTAGCTTCTGACGTCTATGAGATCGGAGGAGTGCCTTGCATCTATCAGGATGTGATCTATCTGGTTAATGGTTTCGTTATCAGGGGATTTCCATGTTCGTTTGTGTATCATTTTATGGGGAAATCTTGTTCCTCCTACTATCATGTTTTTAGTACTTGCAAAGTTTATTAGTCTCAACCCGTTATCATTTGACTCTTCATGTAAGCTCTCACGTCCTATAGTTGGCTGGAAAAATTGCTCTTTGCCAATTTTTGCATTAAGGTCCCCAGCAATGATTTTCACGTCATGACGTGGACATCAATCATATTCTTTGTCTAAGGTTTCATAGAATTCATCTTTTTCATTATCCTCCTTTTCTTCCGTAACTCTGCTTCCCACTGGAGTTGGTTACCACAATCTTCCACAGAGTTGCTCAGGTTACCAGGGTTCACCGCGTGGAGGTGAGAGTTGGAATTGAGTGGGAGAGGCTAGTGACGCTAACAGGATGCAGCGTCATATTTTACGCATCACTACCCCATTTGAACCCCCTGTTCTTCTAGTAATATGTCCAAAATACTGCAAATATCTCTGTTATATTTGTTATCCTTTACTTTAAGTTGTTCTAATATCGATACGTTAGTGGGATGATCAATCCAGGATATTCTCAACATGCGGCGGTATACCCACATTTCAAAAGCGTCCAGTTTATTTTTATCGGCTTTCTTTAACGTCCACGTTTCGGATGCATATGTGGCTATGGGAAAAATGAGCGCACTTACGAGCCTTAGTTTTGTGTGTATTGTTATGCTAGAATTTTTCCAAATTGCTATCA